GGGGTGAGTTTGAGGGGAAAATGGGGTTTAGGGTGGAATAAAGAAGGGAAAAAAGGAGAAAAAGCGTTAAAAGTTAGGAAAATTGAGGGATAAAGGGATAAAAAAAGCGGTTTAGGATGGGAAAACGGGGGGGAAGGGGATTTGGGGAGCGATTTGGAGGGGAAAGGGAGTTTAGAATGGGAAAAAGGGAGAGGAGAAAGGAGATTTTGGCAGGAATTAAGGGTGAAAAGGAGTTTTGGGGGGAAAAAGGGGCTCCAGAATGAGAAAATGGGGGGAAAAAAGGGATTTGGGTGGGAAATTATGGGGTTCAGGAGGGGTTTTTGGGGGTGATGTGAGTGAGGGGAAAGGGATTTTTGGGGGGAAGTTTGAGCTCTGAGGGGGTCCCAACCCTCAAATTTTGGGGTCCCTCCTCAACCTCCCCCTTCCCACCTCATGAACCCCCCCAAAATTTGGGGTTCCCCCCTCACCTGCGCCACCTCCTTGAGGCGGTAACTCGCCTCCTCCGCCAGCAGCTGACACGTCTCCTCAGGGACCCCCGCCACCCCCATGGCCTCCGCCATCACCTTCATGGACTCGGCGGGCAGCAGCGTGTGGCTCAGCTTCAGCTTCTTCTCCTCCGCCATCTCTCCGCGCTCTCCCCGAGCCCCCCGAAACCGGGGGGATCCCCCCAAAAAGGGGCGGCGGGGCCGCGGGGTGAGCGCTGGGAGCTCCGGCCGCCCCTCAAGCCGCTCTGGCCGCCGCCATCTTGGCGCGGCCCCTCAGAGCCGCCGCCATCTTGGCGCCCCGCCTCCCGCCGCCGCGGGTCCTGGACGGAGCCGGGTTTGTATAAAAATATCGGGGGTGAATCGCTATCAAATTGCCTGGAGGTGCCTGCGATAATGCGTATCGAGATATGTCGGTGCGGTGCGAAGGTAAATCTGGATTTGTTGAAGGTGCGGGAGGTGACGGTGAGTAGGGATTATTATGGCCCTGCCAGGACCTGCGGAGAGGCGGGAAAAGGAGGCGGGGTTTGACGGGAACTGCGCATGCGCGGGCTGGAGGCGCGCGGGTAACGGTGTGGGGGAGACCATTGAGGGGGGGATCGGAGGGGGAACCATTGGGGAAAATGGGGCGAATTTGGAGG